ATCAGTTTGGTTTTTTACAAAGCTATTGCCACTAGGAACTGTGTTTCTTTCCTTTAAAAATTTTTTTTCAAAGTACAACATAATGTGTGATGATTCTAAAGCTATAGATCTGTATGCCTGTAAAAGTCAGGCTGGCCAAAAGCTAACTTTTTCGAGCCACTTGGATTTTTACAAGGGGTCCAGCCTGGGAAACAGACAGTCCCAGCTCTTAGGTGATAAAGATAAAGCAGCACTGGATACCTAGCAGCAGATACACAAGACTGGAAGGAGCTGCAGAAATTAGAGATGGCAGAGAGAGAAGCTGGAACATAAACACTGACAGCAGATAAAACATTAGTACGCCAGAGCCCTAAGGCAGAGCAGCAGTGTTCTGAGAGGAATAATGGGAGGTAGTTATCCCAACTTCGTAACTCCTGATTGGTGGTGCTTTACTGTACCCCAGACACCAAGGGTGGCTACAGTTGTGGAGGGTAAATCATCTGGAGTTGGTGAGAAAATATTACCAAAAAGTTGGTCCAAATCTGGCCACGTTTTCATCAGTCCAAAACTAAACCGTGTGTTCTCATGACTAGAAATGAATGTTACTGGCTCCTGATACTCCACTGGAAAGTTAAAGAAATTCAGTCCTTAAATGACGAGATCAAAGCAATAAGCATTTCAGTCCTTTCTATCTTTAAAAAAACAATGTGTCATGACTACTCTCAGTTTGTACCATTGATAATTTCTTACTAGAAAATGTAGATAAGTTAGAAGAATCAAGATCATTATAATTTTCTTACTTTGTCATTTGGAATGTTTGCTAAAATTAGACTTTTTCTCATTTTTGTTTATATAGAGAATAGGATATTGTGAAGATCTAGACAAGAAAATGCATGTATTTAAAAATGTAATATTTATGTTTTTAATAACAACTGCTAAGATGACCTTCCTTTTCCAAAATTGAAAATGTGGCTTGGGTTTTTCAAAGTGAACCAAAGAAAATCAATACTTTAGAAAAGGCAGCAATGCTATTTTGTATGTGATTGAAATAAAAGCAGTCTCTATTTTTTAGGGGACCCACGGAGACCATACCCAACTGATTTGGAGATGAGAAGTGGATTATTGGGTCAGATGAACAATCCTTCCACTAATGGAGTGAACGGTCACTTACCAGGGGATGCCCTAGCAGCAGGCAGACTGCCAGGTAGCGTTAATCAGAGTAATGCTTTCAAACAGGGTTTTTCTGACATGATGCAGACATCTGGCTGTCGAACAAGTTTGAGGGTCTGGACCCAACTCATATTAATAGCTAGGTTCTCTACCACTTTATCTTGCTCTCTACTTCCTCTAGTTTAAAGACTGTTCTAGATGGAGGTTATGAAATTAGTATAAACTGACTTTTCCCCTCATTTGTTAACGTGCCATTTTCCTCAGGCTTTAGGCTCCTATTAACTAAGCTCTAAACATAGCTTTTAAAAATGAAACACAGTGTACAAACAGAATAAGATGTGTATATATGTTCAATCTAAAGAATACCCAGTGAACATACTTGTGAAAAACCTCAAATTAACAAAGCTTTTAATGGACTTTTTAATAACTAAACAGTATCATTTTTGTAAGACAGCTCATTCTGAGCTTCAGCCTTCCTTAGGTTTTGCATGTAGGTTTGTAGTGTTCTCTCATTTTTTTATGTTCCTCATCTTTTATCTTTTGTAGGTGACTTGTTTGGATCTGGTAGAACGTTAAAAATTTTTTTAAAGACATAAAAAAATTACCCTTTTTTGAGTATTAAAATATTCCTTCAATACTTTACGTATTTCATGCTTCTCCATTTTTTACATCGGTAAAAACGTGTCCCTGCGTTGCATCGCTTTTGTTAACTATCTGAGGTGCAGACTGAACTCACTGTGCTTTAGTTTCCCTTAGTACTCTTCCTTTTCTCATTGTGATTGTGCCGTATCATATGCCAGTCATGGTCCAGGCAGGGGGCGGAAACCACACCAGCAATATGAAAAAGGAAAATTTAAAGAATTACTAACTAGTAACAAGATACTAACTACTAGATGGTAAGGTAAAGAGAACTGTATTTTTTTAAATGTAGTAGTGACAGATACAGGGAGCAGCTACTACGTGTAGGGCCAATGCAGATACCCACGGAAGGGACCAACTTGAGAACAGGCTTGTCCCCACCTCGAGGCTGATGTTCAGCCCTCGGTGGAGAAACTGTAGCTGTGGACCACTGGGTGGCAGAAAAGTCAGATGAGGTGTCACAAGCCAGAGCTGGCAAGCAGGAAACTATCCACTAGGGTCCCAAGGAGACTTGCTGGGAAGCTCCCTTTGGGACAGCGTTGAAGCTTACTGGGGAACCACTCTGTGGAATGCCACCGACGCCCTGCACACAACCAGGAACCACAGGAGGAGGGAAACAGGGTCTGGAAGGGAAGCCGGTTCCTCCTGTAGCGTCCCTGCAGTGCCCTCTACTGACAGAGCTCGCCACTGCAGCTGCTGGCAAAGGAGAGACAGTTTCAGGATCCAGAGAGCAGTGGGATTGATGTTTAAGAGGCAGTTTAAACTTGGAATAATTGGTATGTAGTATATTCCAGCTATTTATAACACACACCGAGAGAATAGAGTACTATATATGAGCTATTATAATATATATGTGCATAAAATACAGATACAGGAAACATTTGATTTGAAATTAGGAACGCCTTGCAGAAGGAAAAGTATGTCAACTGACTTACTAAAACATCAGATTTGTCCTTGATAAATTTGACCTTCATTAATTTGGCCAAATGTATATTTTGATTTCTAGCCTTAAAAACTTTTACTTCAAATTATTTGCATAAAGGGAAGGGTAACTAAGAAGTAAGTTAATTATAAGTAGAAATGTTCTCATATATGCTTCTTTCTTTTCTCCAGATGTCCTTGCTCCACAGTATCCATGGCAGTCAAGTGATATGGCAATGAATATGCTACCACCAAACCACAGTAATGACTTTTTGTTGGAGCCTCCAGGGCATAATAAAGAAAATGAAGATGATGTAGAGGTTATGTCAACAGACTCCTCAAGCAGTAGTAGTGACTCTGATTAAAAAAAATGTAAGACAAAAGGCATACAGAAATACTGGCTGTACTGAAACTGTGCCGCCCATTAAGCATCACACTGGACTTTCTTTTTAAAGCCAAAAATCATGGTTTCAGTTCTAAACCATTAGGTGAATATTTAGAGAATAATCAAAATTTACTGTTGGAAGAAAGATTATTCAGTACTGTCTTGTCTTGTGTTCTATTCCAGTTGTGTTGGACGTCTACATAGTGGTTCTGGAAATAAGATTTGAGGGGAACGGCCCACATATACATCACTACTAAGCCTCCTGGAGTTATTTAGAAAAGCATCAACAAAGGCAGCAGATCACTGAATGTACGTATCTCACAATAGCAGGAACCCTCGTTTGAAAGTGAAAGCTGTTAGCGCCTGTTACAGGAGAAATTATCTTGGTTTGTACTATTTGTAATTATTATATTATTTGTAAATAAACTCACTTTTGTTTGTACTTTGATACTTTTTAAAATTTAAGCATACTGTCAGTAAATACAGCTGCATTTTGCACATACGTCAGAATTTGGAGGGTGAATGAACATGATGCAGTGCGTGCATCTGAACTAGGAATCCCAACTCGGTAGGTGTCTCAAAGGAACATACTGCCTCTCTTAGAAGAAATAAAATGAAGTAGTTTTAACTATTGAAAAACTTACAATAATGTCTGATCTTAAGAATAACAAATTATATGAAAGGCTTTAGAATGGAAAACACTGTCTCTGGCCGTCATCTTCCCTCTTAATGCAGCTCCCAGAAGGAATCACTTTTCATTTCTGGTGGTTAACCTCCATGTTTAAATAATATGCTTACACAGCTTATATTTGGATTTATCAGTTCTAGACAGTATTGTACCTTTCCTTTTTTTTTTCCTTCCTGATTGCAAAAGTAATATAACATCCATTGTGGAACATTTAGCAAATATGGTACAGCACAAAGGAGACACGATGAAATTAATAGCATTCTACTCAGAGATCATAATTAACATTTTGGTGTAGACCATCTTAAAGATCCACATATATGCATTCTGTTTAAAAAAATATGTATTTTGAGGTGCTGTTGTATTTTTTATTAGTGATCTCCCTATGAACTGTTTATTTAGTGTTATAAGAATGGGCTTTTTCAAAATTCCCTCTGCTCAAATTTTTTTCTAACCTGAGGTTTTCTGTACACAAACTACTGTTCCTCTCTAATGTTTAACAGTAGGGTTTCATCTTGATGAAGTATACACAGTAATGTTGATACCTGAATTCCAAAGTTTAAAATAATGGGCCCCTGTAACCTGCAGTTGCCTTTTGGAAAAGCATAACCCACGTTAAGGATGTCAGACATGTCAGAGCACAATGGCCACACTGGTTACACATAAAACTCTCAAAAGTGGTATTTCTCAAAGTGTGGACACAAGCCAAGCGTATCACTGGGCTGGCTGCTACAAGACAGATTCAAGAACCTGCTCCTTACCCGCTGAATGGGCGTCTGTGTGAGGCCTTCATGTTCCAAGTCTGAGCACCAGGGCCTTTCTGGCCCATCAGTCACTGCCATTCACAATCCAAGAGTCTTAGAACCTCTTCCTTTTAGGGGTTTTCACTTATAAACCAACACAGACAAAGAACATAACGAATAAAACCAAACAAAATTAGACTGGGCTAAGGAATATATAAATTCCTTATGAGTGTGGATGGAATAGTGGATTGGCAAATGAATGGGAATCTCAAAGCCAAGCTGCTGTGTACGTGCTCACTTGGCATTTACCCAGAGCTCTACAACCCCCAGCCAAAAGCCTTGTGTCTAAATGTATTTCAGAATTTGGATTTTTAAAAAATACTCTATAAAGTTAACAGAACTTATGTATCAAATGTTACAGAATACCCCCAGCAAGATATGAAGGGGCGTCACCAACTAAACACATTAAACTTTCATCTTAAGGAACGTTTAACACTTCATTTAGCCACATCCCCCCACAGTACAGGAACTTGTCTTCCGCGTCGTTCCTCACCAGGAGTAAACCGGCATTTGGATTTCTTTTTGGGCTTTGTCTTTTAACCAGGGCAGCTCTGTTTCTATTTCAAATTCTAGCCCCATCCCTACACCTATAGAAACAGCTCTCCTTTGTGTCCCTACAGATACCTGGAACGCAGTATCTGCATTCCCTCCTCTGAGTATCCTCAGTACGACTTGTCTTATTCCAGCCCAGGGCGAGGATTAAATACTAGAAGGTCAATTTTTTACTCAACCAGTGTACTTTGGGTATTTAGTATTCCCAGTCACCACTGGCTGCTGGGTATGTAATAGAAAGACTCGGTCTCTGGCCTGAAGGAGCTTCCTTTCCTGGGGAGGCAAGCGATGACCAGAACACAGCAATGGTGTGTGTTGGGGTTTACAGCACTGAGCCAAACTGAAGACCGCAAAAACACAACGGCAGTGCCTGGCCACGGTAAATGCCCACCAGGAGTCACACTTGATTCCTGAAATGTGAACATGTTTCCTCTTCTTCACACAGTATTTAGGTAAACTATGTGCTGTAAGTGAGCACCTATTTTAAGCCATTTTTAAGGAGGAAGCTGTTGTAGGAGCATTTTATCTGCAGAATCTATTGCTTCACAAATGCTTTAGGAGTGAATTCAACCCATTAGAAATTAAGTTTACAGAAGACAAAAGTGGGTGACTTTAGAAGAACACAAGTGTCACAGATAAATTAAGCCTAAAACCTTGCTAATTGAAAAGCCACCTCTGAAGTCAAGCTACAACAGAAATAGTTAAGGCACAGTGTGTCACAGTTGGCTTAAGTTTAGAAGGCTTCAGAGGAAGGGATACTTGGAAGTGAGGTATGAAAAATGGGTAAGGTTCTGTTAAGGCAGATTAAGGGTGGGGTGACATTCACTTGAGAAGGAGCTGCAGACACTGGCAAGGTATGGTACACTTGAGGAAGTACAAAGAAATATGCCTGGAATATAGGGTGTGAGAAAGTGATGGGGTATGATGGGAAAGTTATGAAAGACCTTGCATGTCAGGTTAAGAGTTTTATCATACAGGTGGTAGGGAACTTCTCAGAAGTCTGGGAAGACAAGAGGCATGACCAAATCCATGTTTTTGGAAAGTCACTCCAGGAGTACTGCTGAAAATAAATAAGAAGATGAAGATGGTAAATTTTGTATCATATCCCCAGTCAATCAATCAATCTGAGGGAAAAGCTGCAGGAACAGACTGGGGAGAAAACGAAGATCTGGACCAGGGGGGAGGCACTGGGACAAGGAGATGGAGGATGGATTCAAGAGACATGAAAAAAACAGGATGAACAAGATAGAGTGGCTATTTTATGTGAAGAAAGGGAATCTAATCTGAGCAATTCAGCAGATGTAGAGTCATTCCCTGCGAGGAATGAATACAAGAGGAAATTCAGTTTGGAATGTATCAAGTTAGACGTGGAAAACGTAAGGCAGAGATGACTGGTGTGTGATTGGGTCTGGAGCTTAAGGAAAAAGTCAGCTGTAGACAGTGTTGTTTGGGGAGTCATCAAGAAACAGCTGGAAAGTGAATCTGTAAAGAAGAAAAAAAGAACAGAGGCCAGGAATGTGAGGTCAAACTGAAGCTGGCGGAGTCTGGCTTACCTGCTACTTTGCTCCTCTTGACCATGAGTTGTTCTGACAAAGTGAGTTCCACTGCTGCTTATAAAGCTATTAAGCAATACTATTATGCAAAAAGCCAAATACTTACACATCTCAAACATAAAAATGGACAGAAATCTAGAATGGAATCTGGGATTAAGGAAGTGTGACAGACTCAATTTACAAAACAAATATTATTAAGCACCAATCATGGTACTTGGCACACAGCAGATGCAAATGAAATGCTTATGGAGTACCTAAGTACAAACTTATTTGCTCAATTTATTGAAGTCCATAAAATGGAAGGCTTGGTACAACCTCTTAGTCAATGTATAGTTATTTTTAATTTGCATTTTTCATAAACAATACTCAAGTGCAGTACTGACTTCTAAGTATAACATAAATAATTATTAAAACAAAATAGTGAGGCAACATCAACGTGTGAGTAATTTTTACACTGGAAGACTTTTCTCCCATACAGATGACTCCCTGAGCTTGCTTTCTCCACGGTCTCCAGTTAACACGATCCCTGATGCCCAAAAAGAGACTTGTTTCATGTGAAGTTACATTTGCCTTATCTGGAAGCTGGCAGTCCAGATAACCAAGAACTGCCTCTTCCAAGTGGATATCAGGGAGGCCGAATTCACGTCACGCTCCGGTGGGAAGACCTCAGCTGGGATGCTGCAAAGGCCAGTGAAGGGGCGCTTGCCTGTATCAGGAGAGGGCACATCTCAGAGCTTGATGTAGCAAATACATGAAGAGGAACCCGAGGGCTTGATTTCAGACTCTCCAGTGTCCTGGCAGAATGAGATGTCCTTCAGAAACTCTAGCTGACATTTCATTTTATGAGGATATTGTTAGTAGTCAGCATTAGTTTTTTTTTTTCTACTAAAGGCAATTCTCAAACTATCTAAGAATTAACTGATTACTTAAGAGTTCTAGATCCTGCTCTGTTCATTCACTCATTTAGAGAAATATTTACAATGTGATTACCAGATGCCAACTGAGGATATTAGGTGCTGGGACAAATGCAATCCCTTTCTAATATGAGAGTTATCTTTTTACTATAATTAAGAGCCCAGGATGGGTTTTTTGGGTTTGGTTTTTTTTTTTCCCATTGAAGTAAGCCTCATGTCAAATTCGGTAAATTTAAAACAAACAAACGAAAAATCTCATAATTTCCTAACGAGTATGTCTACTAAAGTAAAAAATTTAAAGTAGCAGATATGGAAAAAATTCCACAGGTTAGCGATAAGCTTACAAAGCTATAAAACATCTGCTTGTGTAAGTACTAATATAAACTCCCAACCAACTACATTTGAGGTAAAGCTCTGGAGGAGTTTCATCTATAAGACTTGTCTGGTTTCTTCTTATCAAGCCTCCCTTGTCTACCATTTAGGGAGGAGCCAGGGACAGACAAGGATTAAGTCAACTGAGGGAGTAAAAATGGAAGGACGTAGAGGACTCAAATAAGAGTAGAAAAATTGTGAAATTCATCAGTGTATCTGAAGTTCAAGGAGTATACACTAATTTACTTAAGTTCCTTGCACATTCTAACATTTAAAAACTGAGAAAATTAAACAGAAAATAAGATTTGTAAATTGTAAACTATACAAAGTATACATCTTTTGAAAAAAGAAAACAATTAAGAACAGAACTTTAAAAATGATCCTCATTTTGTTGGAGAAAGAGCCTTCCGTAGCACTTATTACAACAGTAGTTGAGTCTTTCCAAAGCCAGCTCTAGAAGCAAGGATTTTACAGAAGTGGGCTCATAAAGAAAAGGATGTGAGTTTATGGTCTAATGCAGCAGCACTCATACTTTTGGTGTTTGAATCCCTTTAAACTGTTAAAAATTATTGATGACTCCAAAGAGGTTTTGTTTTTGCAAGGTTTTATCTAGTGATATTTATATAATGGGAATTAAAACTGAGAAATTTTAAGAATTTTAAAAAATTCATTTACAAACAATAAAAACTCGTAACAAAAAAAAATTGCTTTAACATAAAAATAGCCATTTTTCTTTAAAAAAAAAACAAAAAAAAACACAGTGAGAAGAGCGGAACTGTTTCACATTTTTACAGATTTCTTGCAGATCAAGTCTAGTAGACAAGGGCCAGAATCTCAAATCTCTTCTTGAATTCAGCCCGTTACAGTATCACATATCACACAGCCTCTGGAAAACTCCTCTGTACATTCAGGAAAGAAGAGAATGAAAGAGGCAAATGATGTCTTTGTATGACAAAGACAGTTTTGACCTTGAGTTCCCTTGAAAGGGTTTCAAGGACTTCCCCAGGCCACACTGTGAGTACTGCTGCCCCAGTCTAATTGCATTTTGCACACGTGGAAGCTGGGTCGCACAGAGATTAAGTGAGAAATCCAAAATGACAGGGCCGGTTAAGTGATGGGACACAGGTCCTGGACTGTCTGCCTTACTTCTCTGGTTTAGGTTCTCAATCAGAAGCCTGGGAAATGCACCCTAATGATTTGTCCTGCTTGCTCTAGTTGCAGGGACTGTCAATATATCACCAAAATTTTTTTTATCTTAAATAAAACAGAAGAGGAAAATCAACAAATGTGGTAAGTTCTGCACTGAGTACACTGTGTTAGCACTTGAATTAGGGTCTCTATTTGAACTGAAACACTAAGACAAACCCTGCTATACTATCCATGCAAACTGATTAATGACAAACAGTACAGTTAATGTCACAGAGAAATACGGAAAGTAGAATCACTACAGTATCACCATTTACAACATTTTCTGAGTCTGAAAGACAATTCAAGACATAATCCCAGAAAAATCTTCACAAGCACTGGCTGAAAGGATGTTGGGTATATTAAGAGACTGTAAATAAACTGGCAATTATAGGAAACTTTTCAGATAAAATGGAGTTGTTCTGAAATGTAGACATTTTTCATTCTCTAACCAGACCTTACTTTGTCTTTTATGTGAAAAAAATAATCAGGGAATCTTCTTGTTCACCTCTAGGTGATTCCCTTTATATCCTACCAGATGATCCAAATCTTCTTTAAATGGATCATAACCCTGTTCCTTTAAACAACGCAGTGCCCAGAAAAGCTGGTCCAGGGGAGGAAATTCTTCCCACGGAACCCATTCCCAACCTAGAAAAGAAAAATACCAAAGCAATTTCTTTAGCTGTGAAAGACACAAAGGATATTTATTTTAACAAATTAACCTATACTAACAAAATTAATTAAATTTTAAAATGATTTGCCACTAATAAAGTGCAATAGTGATGCTATGCATTAGCTTGGCTATACAAATATAATTTGCATTTAGAATGACAATCTTAAGAAGACTGGAGATCATGTAAAACATGTGTTATTAGAACACAAAGTCAAGTTTACAATGGCCACATTGTGATCAAATCCAGATTTAATACCATTCAATTTTCATTTAAATATTTGGCTAAGCAAAACACACAAAACTTTATATATTACAGATCAGACTACATTAAAATAAACCCATGTCCTCACCTATAAAATAAGGTTAGATTACAAAATTTCCATGCTATCCTCCATTTCTTAAAAACGTAATGGAAGCTGAGCAAAGAATAAAAAATATCGTCTGTGCTGTGGTATATTTTACATAGAAAGACAAATAAGGGAGGAGTTTATTTTTTAAAAAAATCATTGAAACACAAAACATTTAACTGTCTATTAATTGTAAAATACATGAAATCGTAGCAAAATATTCTAGAGTGGCATTTTCTTTGATGATTTAAATGTAAATAATATGGAAACACAGATGCTCATGACAGGTGAATGTACAAATTATATATTAAGACTACATAAATTTTATGATTATTAGAACTCCATATTCTAAGTAAGTTTATAATTACATGTATATAATTATTTCATTAAGTATTTTTCTGCCTATAAATACAGGTATGGAGTTTCACTCTGGGAAGACAGGGGACAAAGAATCCAAGAAATTGGAACAAGTTTCAGAAAAGTTGATCAGCACCTGTGACCACAGAGTAAGAGAGAGAGGGAGGGAGGGAGCGAGGGTGGGAGGAGACACAGACAGAAACTAACAATGTGCTGCAAGACGCTGAATTACCTGAGTCTCAAGAAAGATGTAGTAGTTTTTTCTAACTCCTAGTAAATGAAGCACCTGGATAATCCTCATTATAATCAGAAGGTTGGAGGAAAAATGCAGTAACCAGTAAACTGAAGCAAGCTATCCAGATCCAAGACCGGATGAACACGGGGCAGAGACTGCTGGCCTATCTCACAAACAAAACGAAGACCCCCGAGCCATCACACCCTGGCCAGGCTGCAGTTGGGTATCGGTTCTCCCAGCAAACCTGGTACAATTCTGCCTTATACTTCTTAAGGCATGAGTAATTTTTACTAGGTCAGCTGAAGGCCTTAGGATACTTTCTGGGTGTTACTGTGTGTGACATTGTGATACAGAAAGTATATATTTGGTCTTCATCCCTGTTTTCTGGCAGGGTTCCTAAAATCTTTGAAATTTCCTGAGTGATAGGGGTCAGAGAAGCCTCCTTTGTTTTCCATAATAAGCCCCTTTCAACCATACCTGATGCTAATGAGATGGCTGGAGGCCCCTAGATAGTTTCAGAATGGGGGCTGGTGACAAAAAGACCAAGTGGGACAGAGGGGCTGGAGCCTGGGTTAACCACCAATGGACAATGATTAAAACAACTATAGTAATAATAATCATGTAATAATCCAATCATAAAAGAACCTCCATTAAAAACCCTAGACAACTGAGTTCAGAGAGTTACCAAGTTGGTGAACATATTGAGGTGCTGGGAGGGTGGCAAACTTGGAAAGGGCATGGAAGCTGCACACACACTCCCTACCCCACCAATTTCTTCCATTTGGCTGCTCCTGAGTTGTATCATTTACAATAAACTGGTAAGTAAAGTATTTCCCTGAGTTCTGTGGGCCATTCTAGCAAATTATTGAACTTGAATAGGGTATTTTGGATACCTCTGATTTATAGCCAGGCAGTCAAAAGTAAAGGAGGCCTGGACTTGAGACTGGTGTTTAAAGTGGAGGCAGTCTGTGGGACTAAGCTCTTCAACTTTTCAAATCTGATGGTAAGTTAGATAGTATAAATGATATATTCAGTTTGCTGCTCCAACCAAGAGACATAGAGTGGCAAATTATATATTAAAACAAGAGCCTACAATGTGCTGCCTATAACAGATCCCCTTTAGGGCAAAGGACTCATACAGATTGAAGGTGAGGAGATGGAAAAAGACGTTTCATGCAAATGGAAATGACAAGAAAACAGGGGTAGCAATACTCATATCAGACAAAATAGACTTTAAAACAAAGTCCACAAAGAAAGATAAAGGATACTATATAATCAATATAATCAATGTAATAATCAATACAAGAAAAGGATATTACACTGACTAATACATATGCACCCAACATAGGAGCACCTAAGTACACAAAATAATACTAACAGACATAAAGGGAGAAATTAATAGGAATACAATGACAGTAGGAGACTTTAACATTTCACTAACATCAATGGACAGGTCTGGAAAGGCAGAAAATCAATAAGGCAATAGAGATCCTAAATAACACAACAGATAGCTAGACTTAATTGACATTTTCAGGACATTACATCCAAAAAACCCAGAATATACATTCTTTTTAAGTGCACATGGAACATTCTCTAGGACAGATCACATGCTCAGACACAAAACAAGCCTCGACAAATTTAAGAGGACAGAAATTATTTCAAGCATCTTTTCTGACCACAATGGTATGAAATGAAAAATCAACCACAGAAAAATGAGGGTGGAAAAACAAAGATTGCATGGAGACTAAACAACATGCTACTAGAAAATCCAATGGGTCGATGATAAAATCAAAGAGGAAATTTAACAATACCTTGAGATAAATGACATTGAAAACACAAACACAAAATATCTTGGATGCAGCAAAATCAGTCCTAATAGGGAAGTTTATAGCTACACAGGCCTTTCTCAAAAAACAAGAAAAACCTCAAATAAACAACCAAACCTACCAACTAAAAGAATTAGAGAAAGAAGAACAAACAAAACTTAAAGTCAGCAGAAGGGAAGAAATAATAAATATCAGGGGGAAATAAATAAAATAGAGATAAAAAAACAATGGGAAGAAAAAAATCAATGAAACACAAGAGCTGGGTTTTTTTGAAAGAGTATACAAAATCAACAAACCTCTGGCCAGGCTCACAAAGAAGAAAAGAGAGAGGACCCAAATAAACAAAATAAGAAATGTAAGAGGAGAAATTACAACTGATATCACAGAAATATAAAAAATACTATGAATAATTACATGCCAACAAATTGGACAACAGAGAAGAAATGGACAAGTTACAAGTTTCTAGAAACATACAGTTCAAAACTGAATCAAGAATAGATATTCTGAACAGAGTGATCACTAGAAGTGAAATATAATCTGTACTTTAAAAAAAAAAAAAAAAAACAACTCCCCCTGCAAACTAAAGTCCAGAACCAGATGGCTTCACTAGGGAATTCTAACAAAGAATTTATACCAATCTTTCTCAAACTCTTCCAAAAACTGAAGAGGAAGGAACACTCCCAAACTCATTCTATGAAGCCACTATCACCCTGATACCAAAAAACAGGCAAAGGCACTATCAAAAAAGAAAATTACAGGCCAGTATCTTTGATGAATATAGATGCAGAAGTTCTCAACACAGTATTAGAAAACCGAATCCAACAACACATAAAAAAGATCATACGCTATGATCAAGTCAGATTAATCCCAGGGTCACAAGGATAGTTCAGCAGATGCATATCAACCAATGTGATATACCACATCAACAAAACAAAGGACAAAGCCCACATGATATTCTCAATAGATAAAAAAAAAATTTTTGATAAAAGTCAACATCCATTCATGATAAAAACTCTTACCAAAGTGGGCACAGAGGAAACACATATCAACACAATAAAAGCTATTTGTGACAAACCCACAGAAGACATAATACTTAATGGTGAAAAACTGAAAGCCTTCCCACTAAAACTTGGAATAAGACAAGGATGCCCACCCTCATCACTTCTATTCAACATAGTATGGGAAGTCCGAACCACAACAATCAGACAAGAAAAAGAAATTAAAGGGATCCAAATTGGAAGAGAAGAGGTAAAATTGTCACTATATGCAGATGGCATGATATTATATATAGAAAACGCTAAAGGCTCCACACAGAAACTACTAGAGCTGATAAACAAATTCAGCAAGGTAGCAGGATACAAGATGAACAGAAGTATCTTGCATTTCTTTACACTAACAATGAAATATCAGAAAAGGAAAGAAAAAAAAACCCTTTTAAAATTGCATCAAAAAACAAAATACTTAGGAATAAACCTGACCAAGGAAGTGAAAGACTTATAAGTGGAGATCTATAAAATACTGATAAACTAAAGATGATTTAAAGAAATGGAAAGATATTCTATGCTCCTCTTGGATTGGAAGAATTAACATTGTTAAAATGGCCATACTACCCAAAGCAACCAACAGATTTAATATAATCCTTATCAAATTACACTGGACATTTTTTACAGAAATAGAATAATACTAAAATGTATACAGAATCACAAAACACCCAGAATTGCCAAAACAATACTGAAGAAAAAGAATGAAGCTGGAGGCATAACCCTCCCAGATTTCAGACAATACTACAAAGCTACAGTAATCGAAACAGCATGTTATTGACACAAAAACAGACAAATGGATCAACAGAACAGAACAGAATCCAGAAATAAACCCACACACCTACAGTCAATTAATCTTTGACAAGAAGCCAAGAATATACAATGAAGAAAAGACAGTCTCTTTGCCAAGTGTTGCTGGAAAAGCTAGACAGCAGCATGTAAATCAATGAAGTTAGAACACTCTCTCACACCACACACAAATAAATTCAAATGGCTTAGACTTACACATAAGACAGGACACCATAAATCTCCTAGAAGAAAACATAGGGAAAATATTCTCAGACATAAATCATAGGGATTATGGTCAGTCTACCAAGGCAATAGAAATAAAAGCAAAAATAAACAAATGGGACTTAATTAAACTTATAAGCTTTTGCACAGCAAAGGAAACCATAAACAAAATGAAAAGGCAACCTACAGAATGGGAGAAAATACTTACAAACAATGTGCTTGACAACAGCTTAACCTCCAGAATATACAAACAGCACATACAGCTCAATACCAAAAAACAAACAACCCAATCAACAAGTGGGCAGAAGACCTAAACAGACATTTCACCGAAAGAAGACATACAGATGACCAAAAGGCACATAAAAAGATGCTCAACTTCGCTAATATTCAGAGAAATGCAAATCAAAACTACAACGATGTATCACGTCACACTGGTCAGAATGGCCATCATTAAAAAGTCCACAAATGATAAATGCAAGAGAGGGTGTGGAGAAAAGGGAACCCTCCTACACTGTTGTTAGGAATGTAATTTAGCACAGCCACTATGAGAACAGTACAAAGATTCCTTAAAAAACTAAAAATAGAGTAACCGTATGATCCAACAATCCCACTCTTGGGCACAAATTCAGAGGGAACTCTAATTCAAAAAGATACATGCACCCCAATGTTCACAGAAGCACTATTTACAACAGCCAAGATGTGGAAGCAAACTAAATGTCCACTGACAAATGACTGGATGAAAAAAATGTGGTACACACACACACACAATGGAATACTACTCAGGCACAAAAAGGAATGGAATAATGCCATTTGCAGCAACATAGATGGACCTAGAGATTATCATAAGTGAAGTAAGTCGAAGACAAATATCATATGGTACCACTTACATGTAGAATGTAAAAAAAACGATACAAATGAATATATTTACAAAACAGAAACACACTCACATGCATAGAAAACAAACTAGTGATTACTGGGGAGAAAGGGGTAAGGGGAAGGCATAATCTGGGAGTTTGGGATTTACAGTTACTAACTACTGTATATAAAATAGATAAGCAAGGTCCTACTGTATAGCCCAGGCAGCTATATTCGGTAGCCTCTAATAACCTATAGTAAGAATATGAAAAAATATATATATGTATAACTGTATCACCATGTTGTATACCAGAAACTCAACACTGTAAATCAACTATACTTCAATTTAAAAATAAATATATATTCACTAAGTTTAACATTTTACTCTTTAGCTCCCTTTCTCGTGGAGTCTTACAAAGTTTGAAGAGAGATGATACCATCACAAATAATATCATTTATTGTCATTAAAACTTTCAGAGCACTCAATTCAACACAGAAGGTAACAGATAACGGTTTTGTGAGGTTAATCATTCTCTATAAAAGGAAGTTATAATCCCTCTTGCACAGGTGAGAAAACTGAGGAAGGATTATTAAATGTTTTGCTTAAAAATCAGTTTGAAACGAAATGAAACACTAACAATAAAACTAACACTGACTGAGTACTTACTTACAGTGTTAGCTAGGCCTGTTACATGCATTAACTCATTTTATCCTTACAACAACCCATCTGAGGTAGTTACTGTTATCACAGATGAGAAAAGAGGCCCAGAGACCTAAATAATTTGCCCCAGGTTACAAACCTCTAAGTGGAAGAACCAACTCCAGAGCCAGTTCTCTTTCCAGCTCTGTCCTTTTGTCTCCACGATGTAAGAATATTTACATCCTAATTAAAGTATAATTACATTTTAATCTATTCTCTTCACATGACAACATAATGTGATACTCCTTCAGACAATATGCTCTCAAAGAAAACACATTATTGTATGTAATTCTCTTACTTTCATTTTTTTCAGGCTCTACATTCTTTGGTTCTGAATCATGAGTCGTGTCCACCTCTCCTTTCATTAATATGGTGACATAATGATAATTCTCTTTCTCAACGAAAGAATTCACAACCGAGGCAAAGCGAACATTTTTCAAGTGAAGAGCTGCTTCTTCCCAGGTTTCCCTTTGGGCACATTCTTCCCAGCTTTCACTGGAAAACAGAGACACATCATTGTATTCAATTACATTTACATAACGTGTTTTTTTTTTTTGTTTTTTGCCATGAAACTCTTGGCTAGAAATTTCTAGGGTAAAGCAAAAAAGAACTGTAATTGGTTCATGCTTTAAAACAATAAATCAACAGCCCTACCTTTAACATTTGTTTATCCTGTCTCTAGTTATCTAAAGACCAAAAGGACTTCACACTGAACCAAAAATGAGTATTTAGCCAATTCAGCAGTAGTTCACGTGCCTGGAGGCAACATGCAACCAGCAGGTGGTTTAGTGTATCAGTTAAGAACACAGGCTTTGGCGTCAACTAGACTTGGGTTTGAGTTGGAAGTCCATTATTTTCCATCTTGGATAAGTAAAGAGAGAGAATGCTACTTTCTTAAGGGGTTGTTTTAAGTGTAACAAGAAGTTGACAATGCCTTTTCCAGTAGGCTCAGAATTTTAGTTTAAGCCTCAAAATTGAGAACGATTGGCAACTCTAAATTCTAAAGAGTCAAAAGATGCCATTTGAACTTAAGGGTTTGCTAAGGAAGGCCAGAGTAGTCTTTTGACCTTCACCCTAACCAGTCTATATAAGAAAGACAGGAGATCTTCAGGAGGGAGGAAAGTAGTAAGTTTTCAGCCTAGTTAGGAATGTTTCCCTTCCTCCTGATGAGGGGCCAACTCTGCCCACAACCAAGTGAGAGATACTCCAAAAGAATTATCACTGAGACTGGGTGTGGCTCTTGAGGAGGTACTGGTGTGTTACTTCCCTGCTAAGGACTGAGCTGTGGAAACTCAAAGGCCTCCCCCAATGCATCAGAGTGGAGGTGTAGGAGGGAAAGAGCTCTTGAGTAAGTCTGAAATGTGTCCCTTGGTGTTTAGTGACACATATGAATACAGAGGCTGATGCTCATTCCCACTTTGGGAATTTGGAAAGCAAGGGACAGGCTAAAGCAGCTCACGACGGCTGAACAGGGAAAACGGGCAGCAGTGAAAGCATCATTACCAACATATTTCCCTTTGGGCCCAGCTGGGGATCCCAGCAGGAAGAAAATGTAGAGTGGTGTGCTAAAAGCAAGAGCTAGGGGAGGGTCACAAAGACCTATGTCAGTCACCTGTGTCAGGGAACTGTGCCGTGCAGTAACCCTTGCAGGACTTCCAAACAACCAACAAACACACCCTAAGAAAGAGAGCACATGTGTGAATGCTGCAGCCAGAGGGCACGTGGATCACAGCAGCACTACTCAGGTAAAAGTTCTGCCTCCTCCTCTCCTTTCTGAACACACTGGAGAAAGAAATCAGAAACAGTGAGAAGAGGAGGAGGTGGAGAAAGAGCAAAACAATGGTCCACGCCTCCCTTCCCCACTACAAAGGAAAGATAAATGCTAGGAAGAGGATCATAACAACCAAAATGTGATTTATTTCTATAATCAAGTGAAAGGAATTTGCAGAAAATATCAAGTGAAAGGAACCTGCACACTACAGGCCAGAAGGGAGTGGCAAGATATATTCAAAGCCCTGAATGAAAAAAAGATGCAGCCTAGGATACTTTATCCAGCAAGGCTATCCTTTAGGATAGAAGGAGAAATAAAGAGTTTCACAGACAAAAAAAAGCTGCAGGAGTTTGGCAACACTAAACCCATGCTAAAAGAAATATTGAAAGGGCTATTCTAAATAGAAAAGCAGCAGGATGCTACAGAAATGAGAAACGTACAACTGGAAAGGTGATAACTCATGAATTACAAATAAAGAAAACACGAAATTATAAAAGAAGACATACAAATCACTGAGAGTGGGAGAGGGAGGCAGGGAAATATAGAATTCTTTTTTCTTTCTTTTTTAAATTTTTTTAACAGTAGGATGGGTTTGAGATCATGTTATTATCAGTTTAATAAAAACAGTTATAGTAATAGGTTAATAGATTTACAAAAAAGGGTAACCACAAGTCAAAAATTTACAAGGGAGTCACAAAAATTAAATAAAATCCATGATAATACAAAGGAAAATTACCAAACCACAAAAGGAAGAAGAAAGGAACAAAGAGGATATACCAATTCAACTGCAAAGATAAGTTCAAAATGGCAATAAACACACATCTATCATTAATTACTGTAAATGTTAATGGACTAAATGCTCCAGTCAAAAGACATAGAGTGGCAGAGTGGATAATAAAGCAAGAACCCTTCAATATGCTGCATACAAGAGACCCACTTTAGGGAGAAGGACACATATAGATTGAGAGTGAAAGGATGGAAAAGGATATTCCATGCAAATGGAAAAGCCAAAAAAGCAGGTGTTGCAGTACTGATTCAGACAAAACAGACTTTAAAACAAAGGCCATAAAGAAAGATAAAGAGGGACATTTTATAATGATTAAAGGAATGATACAAGATGAAGATATTACACTCATTAATATATATGCACCCAATAAAGGAGCACCTAAGTACATACAAGAATTACTAACAGAGATAAAGGGGGATATTGATGGGAATACAATCAAAGTTGGAGATTTTAACACTGCATTAACATCACTAGACAGATCTTCCAGACAGAAAATAAACAAGGCAACAAAGAAATTAAATATTACAATAGAAAAACTAGATTTGGTGGATATTTTCAGAGCATTACACCCCCAAAAGTTAGAATAT